GGGGGGGGGGGGGGGGGGAGCCTCTGTTGAGAACTCTTGACTCTCCCACGCTCTGTAATTATTCACCATGCAACGGAACATAAGCTTACCTCACAGTACCAACCCATTGCCACTAAATTCCCTTTCCAGTTCTAAAAATCTCTTTAAACGTGTGTCCCACTGTTCTTAGCAGTTAAAATCTAATAGTGGAAAATACCCGTTGAATTTAACGTGGAATATTTTCTTTTAATATCTTCATTACTTATCATTTATCTTCTTCTGTTTTATTGTGTTCAAGCATTCTTCGCTTTCTCCCTAATTCCTTCTCCATTTCTTTTAAATTAAAACAATTAATCGAGAGTAATGTTACAGTTCCCGAAATTCCAAGTTTTTTAATTAAAATTAAGCTCTAATTTATTTTGTTGTTTTGAAATAAATTTAATTTGATGGCGGTCGTTTGTTGGTCAATGTTCTATATTTCGACAATGAAGTTTAAGTCGAAATCGGGTTGAGTTTGAATATTTTTAAATTCAGAAATTATTAAATTTTATATGTAAAATGGTTTTTATACGAGGCTGGTCTACAAAGTAAGTTTCCCTGGGGCCGTTTACAGAAACAAAACACAATTTCATGGAAATATTTATTGCAACAGATACAGCAAGTGTCCAGCTATTTTTCAACATATTCGCCACCGGAATTGAGACATTGGTCATACCGGGGGACCAACTTTTGAATACCTGTGTCGTAGAAGTCGCCCGCCTGGGATTGGAACCACTGTGTGACAACCATCTCCGCCTCTCTGTCATTCTCAAAACGCTGACGCTGACCGGACAGGAATTTCTTGAGGTGTAGGAAAAGATGGAAATCACTGGGAGCGAGGTCCAGGTTGTAGGGTGAATGATTAAACACCTCCCAGCTAAACTCCTGCAGGAGACTTGCTGTCCGTCGAACCGTGTGCGGCCTAGCGTTATCACTGACCGCACTTCACAGTCAGCGGGAGCTGGAATAAGAACCTCCATCTTCAACAGCCGCAACGATGCTACTGTGAGAACGCGGGAAGTACCGTTAGTGCATGCGCCATGCTACGTCATTGCTCTATCACGTACGCACAGTCGCTTCGCTCAATATAAGGTTTGCTAGCTGTGGGACGAGTGGGAAACTTACTTTTGGGACGCGCCTCGTATGTTAACTGGACTGTAGATTACAAGTTGGGCTGTAGACTATTTTGTCTACTGTAGCCATACGTAGCATCAGTTTTATTTAAATGACGGAGTTCAAAATATTGCCCTAAGTGTGAATGGCATTGTTTGAATACTATTAAATTTTTGTTTCAGACCATTAATATTCTTGAGACTGTGGGGGCTCCAAAGTGTCAGATTTTTAAGAAAAATGTAAAGAGAATAATATATTTCTTATTCTTTGTCTATTGTTCTTTTATTCGTTATTAGAAGTTTGTTGTGTTTTGCATATCATTTCGAAGATTTTAATTTTGATAGAAAAATCTTTTACTATCTGCTACAACAGACTATAAACCAGAATCTTTTTGTGACTCTCTGGTTGTACGTTTTAAGATCGTTGTTGAACGATATGTAGTTGTATACTTGTTCAAGTAATTGAATTATTTTATGAAAAAAATGAATTTAATATAAACCAACTCTTGCTTGTTATATAAATAGATTGTTGGGATGGGGTGAGGCTTTGTTTCTATGGACCTGCGGGCACTAGCAGCGGGTCCATTGTCCAGCCGCGGGTGATACATGAGTGAGTACAGGGCAACGATGGAAATATACTGACAGGGAAAATCGAGGGACCCGGTCAGAGAAACCCACGCCTTGTCACGCAGTTGGCTGCGAGCCCCATAT